CAGCGGACCCAAATATAATTGCACGACTGCACCTGCAAGTGACTGCAACCAAAACGCCTGAGTCACTGCGATCAAACCTCAAATAGCTTGTTTGAATTGACGGCTGCAGTAGAATGTGGTGCGACCACAAAACAATATCCAAAGGTCGTGATTCCACCACCGAATTACTTTCTCTCAAAGCCGACCGGTGGATGCCATCTTCCCATTGTCGTAACTTTATTAAGCATGACACCCGATTAGCTGGGCTCGCTCGGCGCCGCTCAGGTCGGGCCAGCCGTGTCGTGCTGCGGACGCGGCAACAGCACGAGCGTGACCTATCATGCGGCCTTCAGGCGCCACCCTGTCACCCATTCTGCCGCCTCCGTCTCCTGGAAAAGCCGTGCCTGGAACCGCCCTCGGCCGCCTCGCCGCGCTGAGGTCGGCCGGTGCTGTCGTCAGGCGCCATGGGGCGCCTTCAGGGCTGCTGCAGCTGACCCGGCCCGGCCGGCAGTCCAGCGGACGCCACCGCGCCGGACCGCTTTCAACACCGCGGCTCCCGTCCACCGCGCTTTGACCAATTACCGCTGCAGGACCGGCCGGTCTGCGAGCCAAGACACGCGCCTGCGGCTGCCACGGCCGGGTGCCAATGGACGCCACGGACAGGGCCTCGGCTCGTGCTGCCTAGAACAGTGGAGTGAAGCCAGCTCGCAGTGTATGCATAATTTTCATCACGGCTGGTGCAGACTCGCAGCCTAATCAAATACCTTCACACGAGAGAGGTCCAGTTACTTTGAAACAACGGGCCGTCCAGCCGCCATCCGTCTTAATGAAGCCCAGCCCAATGCTAGCGGAGCTGAGTCAATCCATCACATGCCGTTCAGACCCTTCCCTTTTCCTGCCCTTTCGAAACCGTCCAGCACATAACCGAGTAGTCCGGCGTGGATCAACGCGCTTGAGCAACTAGCGAGACATGGAGTCATGGCCTCTGAATGATAAACAGGGATGTTTCCAATGCAAAGGTCGCGTCCCCAACTGAAGAACGGTGTCCAGCTGTTTTCATCTGTCCATCACGAGACTCTGGAGAAGATCGCAGTGAAAAAATCGCAGTTTTCGCACCTTCTCGAGTTTTTCTCGCACCCATCTTTTGCTGAGATTAAACAGCTGTTTCCGTTATCAAACAGTTGTTCCCATTATCTCCAGACGGTGCGCTAAAGAGCGCAGCGATGAGTCCAGCGCGTTCACGCTTGGAATACATCGAGGTGGAGTTTGAACCGTTTCTGGTTATCAGGCGTGGGCGGACTAAATTTACACGATCCAACTCTTTGTGGCTCAGTAAACTTGTGCCACCGCTGGCGAAATCTTGAGCCCTGATTGATCAAAGCTGGCACGATTGAGATTCTTTGGGTGATAAGGTCATTGTCCGACTGACTTGAACTTCCGCCATTCAAGAACAAATGGCCGTGATAGTACAATCGCCTCAGTTGCGCCGCAAAGTATTCCCCAAAAGTTTAAAATATCACTGGAAGAAAACCCTGGACCTGGCCGACTGGTGATGAGCGTGGATGAAAGTTTGGCAGAAGCTCTGACTACAACGAGAATATTTACTATATGGTGCTATTCTCGCCGGGATATATGCACACACACACATGCACACACACACCCACCCACACACACGTGCACACACCACACACACCACACACACACCACCCACACACACACACACACACACACACACACACACACACACACACCCACACACACACACACACACACACCACACCCGACCACGCCACACACCTCCACACACACACACCCCCACCCCCCACCCACACCCCACCCACACCACACCCACACCCCTCCCCCACCCACCCACCCACCCCCCCCACACATATTA